GGTGAATTCAAGTTTCGCTTGAAGTGCGAATGTGTAAAGAGCAAGGCGTGAAATATAATTAAAGCACCTTGACACTGTACTGTACTTATGTTACCCACTGAGCCTCTAGAGCTTCCCGCTGGAAGGAGCTTCGCGGTGATGTTGTAGGTTAATGATGTATGATGCATGTTCTTCACTTAGCATGAGTATTAATTTATTAATATTTGATTTTCTGTCAGTAGCTTTTAAGGCAGTAAATTGCGCACTTCTCGAAGTAGCAGTTTTCGATACGTTGCCCTGCAAACGAATATGAGAATGACCACTACATGGTTGTCATGGACAGGCTATAAGATTGAGTTTACTGGTATGGGTTTAATATTATGCGGTGAGTTTGCTCTTCGCAGTTTACTCTTCCAAATGTGCGAAACGGTTATATCCCTAAGTTGTTCAAAGAGTAACTCAACAAAGCCACAGGCGATTTTGGGTAAGTGATGAATTGCATCCTCGGAAATGAGAGGTGCTGATAATACTTGAAAGTTTCAGAAATGTTTTGTTGTGACCGTTACCCGGCCTTGATGATGCAAGTGATTTGGCTAATCTTAAAATATTGTTTGTTGAATGTTAGATATTAGGATTTCTTCTTTTCGTGATCTTCGTATATCAAGCATCGTTAAGATCTCTCATTTGCTATTACCAGTGGATATATACCATGGCTAGAGACTATTTTGAGGATTAATGGGATTGTTTACCATCAGTCCTTTCCTTTCGTTAATGAATGTCTACATTTCTAAGACGATGAGTGAATGGCGTCCGCGGTAACATTCTAGACGTCAATTATGCTCCCGTCGAACGTTCACAGTGGCCATTGTGTAGTCCGAATGTCCTTGTAAACAGATGGAGCTTAAGCCACAACAGCATCTGTTAATTCCCCTGATTATCACTGTTTCCTTAGCCATCCACCTAAGTGTTACGACGTGTCTGATGAGCATGGTACAGCCTTGTAGCCTCTCATTGTCTATAAATAGCGTGAAATATCGTGGTTTATTCATTACATCGGAGTAGAACTGTCAGTTCACATACTTTTTGGCATCAGAAGTGGTAAACAAAATTCTGCCTTCGTTGTTTACGTTTAAAAACCCTTTCGACTTGCCCTGATGGTTCACATGGTACGACAAAACTATCTTGCTAGTCTCAACTGTATTAACATGCATTGATTGTGGATTTATACTGACGACATATTAAGACGTTCCTAGACTGAGAAGTGTTCCTTTGCTAAACCCACAGTACAGGCTGCTTTTGATAGTGGTAACTGCCATACTGAACGGATACTTCAGGTCTTCGTCAATCCTCCTTATTAATTTTTTGGACAGTTATCGTTTCAGAGTTCCACGACGAGAAGAACTGATCTATGCGGAAAATCGGCAAAAGTTGACTGACTCATGATTCAAGGCACCACACAGAAAATGGTTAAAGCTTCATTGCCAACTCGTTTCGCTGTGTACACCGTGGCATCATCAGGAGTGAGCACAAATAGTTGCTTTAAGGCCCTTATAGCCAACAAGCGAACAGTACTGTTGTTTCCTGATTGAAACATACTTTAAAAACAAAGCGATTTTCAACCTCTTGACCAACATTAACCAGAATGTTAACTAACAAACAAGATATTAAGTTGACGTTCAAAATCAAGATGCAATCAGATGAACTGTATCAAATTCGTGATCCATCCAGCTTTCACTAAAGACAACGGGGTTGTGTATTTGTGGCACATCCGGTATTTCATTACCGGTGTAAGCTGGGGTTCCTTTAACAGCAGACTTAATTTAGAATGGCGTTGTCTGTGACAGACATTAGTGTGACTGAAAGTTTCATTTCTGGCATGCTGGGCAAACCTGGAATTCCGGCAGATAGATACTCTTTGATCCGGATGTTCAACTTCCTATAGGTTTTTCCAGTGTGCCTCTTATCACAGTCTCCGCCCTTGACTTTATTAACTGAGTTTATCAGCAAAATTTAACACTTCTTTCGAGTTAGGGGTTTATGCTTCTTCATCTTCATCTTCCATCGCCGCTTCTCCTTTCGGGTCGCGGAGGCAGACGCGTCAGACAGTGC